CAACAATTGTCATATATCACTCGGAATTTCTCAAGCGTTATATATTGGGATGTTCTGCTTCAGGTCAGGCCAACTTGTGTTTGAAGGGGACGCGGGCGGGAGAAGGGAGGTTCGAATTGTCTGAGTCGATCTCATGGTTTCGACAGCCGCGCTTATTGGTGCAACTGTCGGTCCAACTTTGGTATAGCTGATCTCAAGGCGTGTTAATCCTGTAGATACCCTTGGGCTGTCTATGGACAGAGTATAGGGCATCGCGGGAATCCTTTTTTCGCATCGCCGGTGAAGGGGTACAGAAGGACACTCGGCGGATGCTTGGCTCGGCATTTTGCGGCATTTGCGGTTTTGGCTCAGGAGGACTCCAGGATGTGACTTGATACTGAATCCTTTCGCTCGCTGTCGGGGTAAGCACAGCCCATGTTGTTTCTCTCCTGGAGATGCCTTGATTGAATGAAGCAGCTCGTCATAGCCCCAGAATTCTGAGTGCCTGCTTCATATCAACACAGGATGTCACAAGCACGGCATTTGGTTTTCCTTTGGAAGGGCTTGCAAGATCAATGACACAACCACCAATCTCTCAGTACGCTCATAGGGCTTCCCCGACAAGCTGAGCCCACGTCCCATGCCGAAACTGGTATGGGGAAGGCTTTGCTCAGTGACGTTGCTGACCTTGCCACTCGGACAGAACCCCCCCCCCCGGATCCGGACGAGCCGTGCGGCTTATAGGGGGTTGGTGTCAGATGCGCTGCCATAAGAAATCCTAGCGGGCAAACGGTGGAATGCGTCCTTACTTCTACCGACTTGCCCACCTTCTCTGTCGTCCATGTTTTGTGACGGCCCCAACAACCTAACCAGTGATCTCTGGGTGCTTTGGGCAACTTGCTATAGTCTCGGCAAAGGCTGAGGCGGACATTGCGGAGTCCTAGCCGTGGGTTGAGACCTGGGACCAGTCGCTCATTTATAAAAATGGCGTGTGTCGTTTGGGACGGCAGATGTTGCTTGCGGCCTGTTCTCTTTGTTCCCCGTTGAGCTTCCTAGACGTTGAACTTGCGAGCATGTCTTTCGCACTTCGCCTGCGGGCCTGCTGGCCTCTCGCTCCAACCCAATCTCCAAAATATCAGGGATTCTCGATTGAGTGGTTTCCCGAAACAAGACCAACAAGACCAACGTGGGCAGCTAACAGCTAGGTGGCACGGCTGCGGTTTACCAGTCAAGTTCTGCATAGTGCTGCATAGGGCATAGGAAAAGGCGTGCATCAGGCAGAGGCAGAGCCCAGGGCCTTTCTTTACTGGGTGTGATCAGACTGTCGATTGGTGCCCTTTCCACACAGAATCCAGAGCTGCTGATCTGTGCTTTCCTCACAGATCATGAACCAGAATCGCCTGCAATTTATCGGATTGTTTCATCTTGGTTCTTGTCTACAACCACGCTTTTGCAAGAGGCACGACCATATTGACGGTAGAAAGATGATGTAGACGGATCATCAAATTGGATCGGGAGCTTGACCCAGTCAAGCGAGGTGTAGCAAAGGTCTGTGAGGCTGCACTGAACACGCAAGCGGACGTCTTGCCCGGACTGCGGCAGGTCCCTGTTGCAACAGGATCTGAAACCAAGCCTTATGCTGACATGGCTGCTCACGGTTGGTTGCTCGCGGCCATGAGAGTTGTGTTTGTTGTTTTGGCCAAGCTACCTGTGGGCCTTGCTGGTAGTGCCAGCAGGGCTGTAGCTGGAATGGTTGATGCCATGATGATTGTCATGATCTCATCCGCCGCCTCCTCATCGCCGTCATCATCAGCATCATCATCTTCATCATCACCACCATCATTATCATGCTCAGCATCGTCGTCGTCATCATCGTCATCATCGTCATCATCTTCATTAGCAGCAACATCAGCAACTTCAGCAAAGGGCGTCACCATCATCATCAGCTAGGTCACGGCTCGTTGATCCCCGAAGTTGACACACACACACATTGCGCACACAGACACACAGACGCACACACATACACATTGGACACACCATCACACAACTCGGTTGGCGCATAGCCAGACTCAGGCTTGCAGTCAATGCTGACGATCGCTTGCGGCAGTCTGAATTGATTGAGCGCCTTGGCCTTTGGAATGACCCACACGGAAAAAACAGTGTCCTGGTATGGTGAGCAGTTTCTTGTTCACAGTGTCCAACGGATAGTTTGTAGCTCAAACGAAGCTGCTTGAATGCAAGACAGTGATGCATTTGAGGGTCAGTGATGGACATGTGCTCGGTGTTTTGTACCTGCTAGTTGTCCACAATGTGCATGAAGCGGACAGAGACTGTTTGGCTTAATGCGGTGGAAGAATTTATGGATCCCACAGTATGGGGGAAGAGGTTGATTACATTGGAGCTGATCGTTATTTCTTGTTGGTGTCAAGTGTGTGCCAATCACTGCGTGCGAACAACAAAGTGAAAGCCCGGGTACAAGTTGTACTTGATGTGAACAAGCCAACACCCACCCATGGAGTCTGCAATTGGTGGTACGGCATGACACCCTCTTCCAGGAATTGGCGTACCTGTGTATGCTGCAACCCATCTTTCCTCACAAGGGGCGTGTTTGGAGGTCCTTTTGGCTTCCCTTTCAACGAACCGGAAAATCGTGCTCTGAAAAAGACTCACTTCTGCGTACCCCCAGAGGGCCACGTCATTTACGCCATTTTATCGGTTCTCCAGGCTTCCTGTGCCCGGCTTAAGCCCACAGCCAAACATGGCTTCGCTGAATGCCAACGCTCGCTGCGAAGAAAGAATCGTCAAACATGACTCTCAAAATGTGTTTGTTTGGGAGGAATTGGTCGGGGTTCTCCATCGGAGGGCCCGGGGGTCGATCATGGCACTTAGGGTAGCACGAAAAACAACAGCGCCATACTGAGGCGTTCGGCCAATCGAAGCACCTGGAGACAGCGGTTGCTGCAGACGACGACAGTGTCCACACAGACATTCCCTGGCACCTTGCCGAGAGTCTCCGTTGGAGTATGTCTACTATAGACTGTAGAGACCAATTTCTGATAGTGAGTTTACATTGTGTCACTTTTACAAAACCAACTACCATCCAAAAGTGAGGTTCTGGGACAAATCTTGGCGGCTTCACTCTCTCAAAGGATGGCAATCTGACCAGTGCTGGTCCCTCCATGAAGATTGCTTTACTGCATGTTCATGGGGCATCTGGTTTGCAGCTGTTTCGATATCAATCACCACTGTTTAGCTGCTCGAGGGCTAACAGCAAAGACAAGAATTCAGATAATATGTTGAACTGGTGCACGATGTCCGGCCATACTGTGGATGGACGAAATCCTGCACTACTCTGAAACCATGGAGACCATTGTTCGTTGGCATTTACAGGGGAATCATCCTTCCAGCGTTTCCTGGGTGGTGCAGGATTTTGTCCATCCACAGTAGTTGCAGTGTGACTCAGCTTCAGGCAGACTCAATGTCAGTTTGGCCACACCTCATTTGCAGGGATGATCTTGCAGCGCCTCTTGCGTGTCTTGTCCGATTGCACATTAGGGGCCCTTTCTAAAGGACATGATTCGGGAAGCCCCCAACTTGTTGTTTGAGCATTTGTCTGACCATGCATTTGTGAAAACTTGTTGAAAGCGCTCAAAAGCCTTTTTCTTGGGGCCCAGCATGTTTATCCTAGCTCTGGATGTGATTTGTTCTGAACCTAGACTCTACAGTCCTAACAGGCTTTAACATGGCTTTAATTCTTTTTTGGATTCAAGCTTCAACACTATTGGGACTCTCATTTTGAAGCTGAATCCAGTAGATCTTGAAGAGGCGGCTTTAAAGCGGCTTTAAAGCCCCTTCAAATTCAATATTCAATTTTAATATTCTTAGGACTCTCATTGTTTATTCTTGAATCAAGCAAGGATCCAAATATAACGACGCGTTAATGTGCTTTCATGCGTTTGAGGCTTTAAGTTTCAACGCGAGGACATACATTAGGGAAAGCTGCCCACGTCTGCAAAACGATTTGCAGCGATTTAACGCAGTTCTGGATTCAACATTTGAATTTGAGGATATGAGGACTCTTGTTGAAATCTTGAGTCCAGTACCGCTCCAAACAAAATGCTTCAAGGCGCTTTCAAAGCATGTACGTATTCAAGATTCTAGATTCAAGATTCACAAGGAGAGTAATCTTGAACGGCTTTAAAGGCTTTACTTGGAGCCCTACTCAAAATGAGCGTCCTGAGAATCTTGAATCTTCAATCGAAAAGGGCTGTATAGCTTAATTGTTTGTTGTTTTTTGCGTCCATGGAGTGTAGATTGAAGATCAGCAGGGTCTCAAGCAAGCCATTCTCAATCTCACAGGATGAAAAACGTGGGTTTAGGAGGAGGATTACATAATATGTATATATATATATATATATATATTTGAATTTTCCAGGCATGCATGTTGCCCGCTGTTTGCGGGGGGAAAAAGCAACTTTTCGTGCATTGGTCGGAAAAAGAAAGAAGAACAACAAAACACGCTTCTCACTGAGCAAGTGCCGTTTCAACTTTGGCTGGAAACATGGTCGGGGAAATTTGCCGTTTCGACTTTGATTGTTTCTTGGCGTTTGATTGAACATCAGCTTTTTATATAAAGAAGTGAACACTACACGCTTTGGGTGATCCAGGTATACGCATATATGTATAGAATATATATATATATATATTATATGCATATATTTGTATTATGTGTTTTGTCAATCCGGAAGGGCCTTCCATTTCAAAAGGCAGCAGGACTTGGGGGATAGAGGTGCTGCTGCAAAGCTCATAGGCTGCCCGACTTGGACAAGGGCAACCCTCTCAAAACCGCCAAACGCTGCCCGCATTTATTGACAACCCGACTCGGCGGATGACGTGGATTTTTGGACAGCTGGCTGGCTGGGTTGGTTGGTCGGTCGGTCGGCTGGTCGGTGGGTCCGTTGGTCGGTTGGTTGCTTGGGTGTTGTGGCAAGCGGGCACATCCCGTGCACCAATTTAGCAACATGAAACCCAAACCTTCCCAGTGGACCCTAAACCCAGCCTCTTTATCAGCCCTCAGCTGAGTATAAAAAGGATCCCCCACACCAACCCAAGAACCATCCTCAGCCCTAAGATGGCCAACTTCTGGGCGAAAATGCGGCCAGCCTAAATATGGCTCGAACCGTCGGGGGCCTCTTGAGGACTGGTTTGGAGCGTCGTAAAAGCCAAGGCTTCAACACGAAGCGCTCCGAGCTGTGCGTGAGCCAGGGTCAGTCGATCACACCTCCAGAGGCAACTTGGCTGGAAAATTTCGCCGCGAACATCAGGTTGCGCGACAACGCACATCCAGAACCGGTCACCCCACCTCCAACAGGAGAAACACATACCAGCCTTTAGGGTGAGAAACCAGGCAAATACAAATACAACCTGACGTGCTCTACACCACGTCCAACAAGAAAAACACACATACCTGCCTTCAGAGTTGGAAACCAGACGTTCACATTGCTCATGTGTTGTGTTGGAAAAGATATGGGTCAAAATTCAGGGCCAAAACAGGTGACCCTCAAAAAGAGGTACCCTCAAAAGTCACCAGTTGTATAGGTTTGCACAGCAAGAAAGCATGTCGAATTCGAACACAGCACTATAATATGCACGACGTCTATCGGTTCCGGTGGCATCAAAGAGTCGCCAAGGTTGAAACGTTGCAGGTCCTCCCTGATATGTGTTCTGAATTCGTTCATTGGGTTGCCTTGGATTGGTAGGTGCGGAGTGCGGGGTATGAAGTGTAAATGTTAGTTGCTGTTTGTCGTTGTGTGTGTGGGCGCGCGCCCGGTTGTTCTGGCTTGTTTACCTGCTTGCCTGCTTGTATTTTGTTTCTATTTGTGTCTGTTTGTTTGCTTGCTTGGTTGGTTGGTTGGTTGGCTGTTTGTTTTTTTTGTTTGTTAGTTTGTATGTGTTTGTGTGCTGGTTGTGTGTGTGGGCTGGGAACAGGGAGACAGTCGGTTTGCTGCATATCCGTACACACGTCTCCAGCAGTACCAGGGTGCACAGTAGAGTGTTCCGTCAGACAATCCCACAATTATCTTAACAACAAATATGGGCAGCGGGGAAACCATGTTACATGCTCGAAGTCCACCTGATCTGAACCGTACCTTCAGCTTGGCTTTGGGGGAGCCAATGTTGAGGATCCGTAGATCACCTGGTCTGAGATCTAATGTATGTGACCAAGGAACTGAAGGAGCCGCTCCACTCCACACATATCACAAATGGGATGTGAAAAACGAGTGACGCATGCGCAAACGGTACAAACGCGACCACCAACAACATGAGTCAACCAGTGAGTTTCATCAAGGCTCCTGAAGCCACACGCAACGCCTTGCGCACAACCACCAGGACGACAAAGCAACGAGACCTGGCAGGCGAAAAGCCCATGCTGTCTCCAAGTTTCTGTTTGAACCGACACATTGGCAATCAGTGCTTCACCATTTATACTAGGGGGTGCGTTCGTGGCCCGGAAGATCAGGCCAGCAGATGTGATGAAAAGGCAGACACCATTTTTGACGCGAACAGGTCCTTCCTAGCTCTCTGGAACTCTGTGCGTACTGCACAAGAGCCTCGGAATGCAAATGGCTCGGCCAGCATGGCTTCCGCAGAGCCCAAGAAGGATTTTTCACACTGACCCAGTGAAGCTAAGGCACCCATTGGGGGAATCAGACATGTATTCAACCGGGGGTCTTGTATTTGAAGAGTGTCCCTTGTAAAGTTGCTTGACAGGGACACCAGAGGGAAAGCGTGCTTTTTCGGCCATTTGGGGTTAAGACCAGCTCAGGTTGCATTCCAGTTGATTTCCGAGGAAGCTCAAGCCACAGAACGACTTTTGGCTTTTTCCGTGTTTCATGATGTTCCCTTACCACATGTTAGCTTTCTGGTTATAAATCTGGGCATGTCCCACTTTTATTCTCGCGGGTTTCAGCCAGTTTCAGCAGCTGAGTAGCGGGAAGGGGGCCCGAAGGATTCCATGTTCCATGGTTTACTTGCTGAAATGGGCTCGTCTTGTTTAAGGTTGGACTCCCAAACATGGAGTATGTTTTCCTTTTGGTGTCCATGTAAAGCACTCACAACGGGTACCCTCAACAAAAGACACACCCGATGTCCCTGGTTTTTTGTTGACCCGTTGCGTGCCCAGGGTGCAGAAAGCCGGTCTAGGTGGTGCCAGAACCAAATGCATCCTTTTGGGTTGTTCCGTTGCCTTCTGAAGCCTGGAATGTATTTGGTGGGTCCTCGATCCAAGGCATCACCCCCCCAAAAGGGGTTCCTTTTTATGTCACTGGGCAGAAAGGATCAAGGAGTGCAGCCGTCAAGGTCACTCGTCTCAAGAGGAAGCCGTGTCAAATTCAGGAGCTCAGAGGGTTTCCCGGTGACAGCCAGACCATGGCTCCTGTTAATCAGGCAACGCTTTAGAATTGGTGGTTGGATTTGTGTGGTTTGGTGTTTTTGAACCCCTGCTTCTTGCAGAGACTAAATTGGAAACCACCCCCACCTCCAAACCGCCAACTCAATGAATTAGAGGGAAGCTGAGTTTGGGGGGAAACCTTCAAAATGTTTGAAGAAACATAATGGCCCTTGGTGGGAATGAGTATCTAGGACCTCCTCTCTGTTGATTTTGTGGTCCTCCGTGCGGTTGGCAGTTGACCCAATAGCCCAGTGGTGGTGGTGGAATGGCTTATGGCGCCGTCTCAATGGTGTTGGGTGGACATGTTTATCCCCGAATTCTGATGTCCACCACTCTGGGTCCTTCAAAAAATACGCCAATACGATGCTCCTTTTTGTTCTTCTTTATCTTTGTTTTTGAGGAGGGGGTGCCGCGCAGCTTGTTGGTCTCTTTCATGTTTCAAGCCATTGGATGGTCCTCAAAGTAACCTCAATGATGCCCGCGGGTTCTTTTGAGTCAGAGGCAAACCCTGAATGTGTGCTTCAGCTTCTGTGATCCCCACGAGAATTCCCTTTCAGTGGGAAAAAAGGACTTCAGTAAGTCTAGCTGCATGGCTAACCTCCAGATGTTAGCTTTGAGCAGATGATTCATCGACGCTAAAAACATGAAAGTCTTCGGAAATGGATGACCAGGGTTTCACAGATCTCAAATGTAATTGTCCACCCGCCTCGATCCAACTTGAAGCCCGTGTTGGCCGATCTTCGTCATGTCTGGCCACTGGCCAAGACGCAAGGGAACCCCTTCAACAGTGCTCGGCGGGCAGAAATCCCCACCTAAATGATGTCCACCAAAGGGTCCACGAGAAAAATCATGCGTTCAAAAGCCCTCACTTACCCTCCAACCATGGAAGCTGACAGCAACGTCGAGTTCCATAAATTGTTGTTGACCTTTCGGCTGGTTCTTTGAGGAGGGCTGAATAAAGGCTTCCAGCAATTGTCTGTCCTTTGGATCACTTAGTTTGCTTGGACATAGATAGGTTCTACTGACTTAGATTGGTGTTCTTCGACTCACCAGGGCCATCTATTGGTTTTATTCCATTTAGATTTTGATCAAGTACTGTGTTAATTTGGTTTCATTCCATTTCCCAGGGAAATCCACCCGTGCATACAGGGAACGAGTAGCCCGCCCCAAAGCGACGCAGGGAACTCCACCGATTTTCCCAAAAAGAACCGCCGACGATTCTCAGAACCGGAGCTGGATCCCTGCGTCTACGACGTCTCGGAGTGCGGCAGCGTGTCACAGGGCTCCACCTGCCGGGTGCGCTGCAAGGCGACCGCGGCGCCGCGTCACGCGTCACGCGACGCCCGAAAGCGCCACGCACCAACGGGGGTCCATGGCATGTTGTTCAACTCAGGGTGTACTTTTTAGGGGATCCCCCCCAAAAAAACGGAAAAGACTACAGAAAAGAGTGTTCCTTTCGGTTTCCCTTCGAAACCACAAACAAATGGGTGCCCTCAAGAAAAGACGTGTTGCTTTGAGGGTACACCCATTATTAGGCGAATCCCTATGCTGCCCTTACCCACATTGGGCAAGTACCAACCATGTCAATTGCCGAATTCTAAAAGGGTTCCGCATATGGTTTCCACCATCACTGGGCGAGCAATTCCGCACCAAACACCAAAGTCATGGGCTTTTGGGCCTCCATGTTGCATGTCGGGGCAATCAAAATGCGCCCCCAGCGCTTCCAAATCAGGGGTCTTCAAAAGGGAAAGCATGCAACCACAAAGGATCTTGGTATACGTTAACATGGGCGGGGGGACCCTCAAATATGTGGTGTTCTTTTTGGTTTCCCTTTAAACCAACCCCAAAGAAGGGTATCCTCAAAAGCGGCACTCGCAAAAACGGCGAACAAACCCGAAAGTTTGACTTCTGGTTTGGCAGGTTTTAGAACCCGCAGAAGACTTGGAATTCCTTAGGGTAGTTCATTAAGTTTTCTAGGGTTCCTTAGAGTTCCGTACAAAGTTGGAGAATGGCATGCCCACAGTTGCAGAACTGCACCGGGATTGGGTAAGCCACACATATGGGTGTGTCTCTTTTTGGGGATAAGGGTGGGTTGGTTCAAAGAGAAAGCAAAGGGATGAGGCAGGGATCTAAGTTGCGCACAAGACACATCCCTAGAAAGCTTGCCTCCGGAACGTGGGTTTTTAGCTCTTCACGAGCTGGGTGCAAGCGGCAAAGCTGGTGGCCTGGCCCAGCCTCTCGGCAGGTTCCTTACCTGGGAGCCTCCAGCGTGGCATTGTGCCCCGCCAGCGGCTCGCTCGTGGAGGCACCCGGCACTGCGCTGCGCTTCGGGGGGATGGGCTCTGGGTCAGAGGACGCGAGACCTGAGGATGGGTCATGCGTGTTTGATCCAGTTGTCCCAGGAAATTAACCAGCCTTTTTCTTTTGGAGTTCAAAGGCTTCCCTTTTTGTTTCTGGAAGTGGAATCACTGTGCAATGAGAAAACGACCCCTCTTAAGCTCGGTCCGTCTCAATGGCTCGCCGTTTTTCTTCTGGTACCATTTGACAGGTAGCGCAGGAGTGGAGACACGTTTGCTTCGAGACTGGTTGGCCTTAAGAAACCCAGGTCCAAGCCTGCAACAGCCACCGTGGGCGTTTTGGAGTTGGTATCCTGTTGGCCCCTTATTAGGGCAAGGCCTAACGTAGACAGGCAAAAATGCTTGCTTGGTGCTTCTACCCATTGGCAAAGTCTGGCTCTTCCAACTGATTGTAACTGATTGATTGATGCCAAGACCATCTAAAACGGCCGTGCATTCTTCGCAGCCGCTCGTTGGTCGAAGCTCCCTTTGAGGTTGAACATCCACCTGGCGTTACGCTGCGGACGGATCCCAATTGCCGTCAAACCACACACCCTGCCAGAAGAACGGAAGTCTTGTACTAGCATTTTGGAACTCACGTTTCTGAAATTGTGTATTCCTTACAGAACCTGCCTCGCTCTGAATATGAAGAGAGGGGGGTTGTATGGCTTGAGTCGGCATCTTCAGCCCTTGGCAGGAGAACCTCACCTTCCAGCTGCCCAACTGCGTGCCGTCGCTGGAGGAGGGCAAGGTCCAAGAGTTTGCCGTGTTCCGACAAGGGGAAGCTCGAGGGTGGAACAGTCGTCCTGTTTTGTTGGGGGGACTTCACACGCAAGAGCCCTCTATGTCAGTGTGTTTGTGTGTGTGTGGTTCGCCGACATGCTTCCCCAAGTATTGGTGCAGGCAGTGGGTGACGGAGTTCTACACTTGGAACGCCCAGGGTTCAGGTAGGCTTTGGTGCACCTGCATTGTTTCTCCGGATTATGTGGTATGGTTCGCGGCTCAAAGGTATTGTCACATATGCATTCCGCTCGTGTTCACAGCAGCCACGCTTCTGCCTGCTCTATAGACTCTATAGCTGGTTCTCGGCTCCCGGAACCCTGCATCAGCGTGATTCAGGTGGACAATTGGAGGGTTGTTCATGTTGTTTGTTGAAGTTCTCATTCCGAGTCGTGCGGGGTAACCCCCTTGACTTTTCACGTTTACATGTGCTTCCTTCTAAAGATGCGATGGGATGAAGGAAAGCCAAAACAGTGACAATGTCGATTGTGTGTGTGTGTGAGATTGATGACGGTCTGACGCCCAAAGTACGCGTTTGTGTGCGCCCAGTTGCTAGTCATATGATATGTCATTGCGTAGCTTTCGACCTGCTGCTATTGTTGGGTCTTGCCTGGATATGGGCACCTCCTTGTCAAGTGCTTTACAAGATGTGTCCTGCTGTTTGGGTTTGATGTTCTGAATTGGGTTCACAACACAAACACCAATCGGCAAGGCAAGGCACCCAAATTCGCAGCCTCCCGCCGTGGGGCACCCCGAGCACGCCACCGCACCCCCCCCAAGGAAAAATGTAAATAAACAAACAAATAAACAAACAAATAATCAAGCAAACAAGCAAACAAACAAACAAGCACACCACCGCCACACCGCCGGCCCAACACACCACCCCTTCAAACACACGCCCCTTGGCAAAACGAATCTAGACCCATAAATCAGCGGGTTTCCTCCATTTCCGTTTTTGGAACTCGCAAAAGTGGAGCAGCGTAGATGGGAACCTTGATGAAATTTGGCAACTGTTTGGCGGGAATGCAGCGACTGACGCCAGGTCTCTTGCCCCAACCCAGCGTCGATTCCGGCGGGCTATCGCCAGGTTCAGGAGCTGTGTGCTCGAAATCCAGGGGTTGCGAATCCACCAAAAAATGTCAGGAAGCCAAGGGGAAACTTGCCATTTTCGGGTAACCCTTGGAGAAGCACGTATTTGGATGGGAAGCAGATGGCAGAAATCCAACCCGTTCGAAATGTATTCCCCTTGACCCAAACAAAGGACATTGTGCCATCTACTTTCAGCCTTTGGGGGCTTTCCTTGCTCTGCCAGGGTCATTGGGGTTACTAGGTTGCGCTGTTTGCCATTGCGTTTGTGCATGATCTTCATGTGGGAGAAATCATGTGGGTATAGGGGCGGCATAGCGGGGTGTTCTAAATGGTATTTTCTGACTTCATTCAGTTCATGTGAGCTGTTCATGTTGCTAGTTTCTCAAGCACTCGCAGTGTCGCAGCCCTCGCAGCCCTCCAATGGATCTTATTGGGTGAAGACCTCCAAAGGTCTAGAATGCATTTGGATCATAGATGTTGCTTGGCATGGCTGCTCTCTGGGGAAGTATGGGAGCTGTCCGGTGTCGGCTCTTGTTGCTGCGGTCCTGTTGTATTCTAGCTTCCAAATGCTGTTGCCTGGAATCCGAAATTGAAGAACTCTGAACAGCAACGCCCACCGACGGTGCTTTTTCCCATGTCAAAAATCCCAACGTGCTGTCCACAAGCAGTCACGAAAGGGTACTGGGACCCCAAAATCGTGGTGGTCCCTTTGGTTTCTTTTCCGAACAAACCCTCAAACAGGACAAGCCCATGTAGTTGCTAGTAGAGAACTGGGTGTGGCTCCTTTTAGGGACCCCCAACAAGGAATGGCTGTTTCCCTGTTGGCTTCCCTCTTTAAGGATACCATCAACAAACACAGACCCATATATTGATTTACAGGCACAACTGTTCGCCCGTGGCCTCATTCGTTTTTCGGCTGATTTGGCCACATCTGCAAAAGACCCTTCAAGCCAAGGCTTCGCAAGGATTCGTGGTGAACAAGGTGTCCTTGGCTTGGCTTGGATGGTCATCGTTTGCATATTTAGCGTTTTTTCCTACCCGACTAGTGGCGGACATGAATCCCAACCCAAATGGTATCCGCTTGGGTTCTCAAGTTAGAACTCACAACCATTTGGGTCTGGGTCAAAATTAAACCACAGGTGTTGGACCGCAGGTTTTAGTCCTTGTTTCCATTTAGGCAACCCATTTCGAAGTTACCCCAGTTTTGACCCACACCCATTTAATTCCGTGCTCGAAGCTAGCTGCGTACCTATGATGTAGGAGACGGGCGGCTGGGCATGCTCGACAGGCTACCATGGAGAGGCCAGGGCCCCAAACGGAGGACTCGAGCCAGGAGAAACGTGAGTTTAGGACTTTTCATGTCTAAACCAACGGGGAACACCTCACACAGGTGGTGGACATGACTCGCCTGTCCAGCCTATCAAAATTCATGCGCATGTGGGCGGGTGTGCAGTGGGCTGTGGATTGGCTGGGGGCTCGCGTAACCATGTCTTGTTAAACTGTTGGAAGCCGGCAGGAAACTTGCCCTGAAAACCGATAGCAAGCTATCGGATTCTTGCTACGGCATGTTTCGCATTTCCCAGTTAGCTCAAGCGACTTGAAAAGTCCAAGCTGTGTATTGGACTCTGTCCTGTGCAATGCATGCCCACCCAAGCCCAGTGGACGTACATACTTGTGGTTTTGACTGACACCTCTAACTGTGGGTCTAGCCCTGGAACCGGCTTCAGGACTCCACACTGTACCTGACGCAATCGCCGCCATTGGCACAGGGGTCCGAGTATGTGTCAAACTAGGGGGCCGAATCGTGGTTGTCTTGTGGTTTTCCATTCAACCACAATCAAAACCAGGGTAGACGAAGGTTAGTAAGGGACAATCCCAGCCATAGATAGTTGCGGCCGCCTTTGCATTTCCTTACATGGTTCCGGGTCAACCATGTCAATTCCGGGTTTTGGTTGCGACTCACCTGGATATTGTTTTTGTCCAAAGAAAAACAAGTTTTTTAAATCAAACAAACACCAATCCGATCTTGCCCTTTTTAGCCGTTTTTCAACGACCTTTTGGTCCGCAAGGCAAGTGTCGCTTGGTGGCGATTTTTTGTTGAACCGGGAACCCTTACTGGAGTTCGGAGATTGGGATAAGCCTTGGCACTGGGTAGGAGATGTCAGCGGCGCCCAAAGCCCCAACGGCCATTTTAGTAGGTGGTTCTACTACCTTGTTTAATAGGGATTACCAAAGAAAGTTTAGAAGGAGCTTCTAGATAAGATGAAAGAATGACTGCGTGCGAGAACGTGCGTGGTCGTGCGGAGAGGGAATGGACATAGCAGAAAAGAGCGACACCCAGCGGGTTTTGGCATCCCCGGCGGGCTGAAACGGGTGCAGACGGGTTTTGGGAGCGCTACTTTTGAGGCGTGCGACGACCCTTTGCAGTGATCGACGCCGTCGATGTGCAAAACTGTCGACTCTTGCTACGTGTTGAGGGGCCCGCTCGACCCGCTGCGAGGGTCGCATGGACCCTCTGCACGTACTATTCTGTGCTCGCGGGCGTCAGAAGCTGCATTATCAGAGAAAGTCATTCATAAACACGCGCGCACTTGGGCAGAGCAACTCGCGAATAGAGAACTGGCGCAGAGCACTTGCGCACCGAAGCTGGCACAGAGTGCTTGCACAGAGCAACTTGCACACAGCATCTTTCGCAGAACGCTTGCGCAGGGCAACGTTCGTAGAAAGCTTGCACGGAGCACTTGCGCAGCGCAATATGCACTGAGCAAGACTCGAACATGCAAAGTGCAAGGCGCAAGGTACGAGGCGCAAGGCGCAAGGTACGAGGCGCAAGGCGCAAGGTACGAGGCGCAAGGCGCAAGGTACGAGCATTGCCCGCGTTCTTGCCAAAAGACGCACGCCGAAAACAGGTTTGCAGGCCCGTCCTCTAGTTGTTTCTGTCCATGCGTCCTTCGGCCCTGAGGCGCTGCGCCAGTGCACGCTGCTGTACCAGGAAGGCTCCTGCGTGTTGCAGGCGAGGGCATGCGAGGGCAACAGGTCAAGGCCCGTGTTCATGTCCCTGCAATTCGACAGTGTTTGTGTGTTTGAGGGTACCTCAGCCGGGGCTGGTTCGAAGGGCAGCCAAAAGGAAAAGTCGTCCCCCTGTCTTAACACATATGTCAAACGACCTGCTGTTACAGAAGACTACAGTGAAGGTGGGGCGGAAGCATGTTTCGAATAACACGCTGAATTAGCATCAAAAAACGAGGTAGGAACACGCCCAAAACGAGGTAGGCACATAAATAGTTGGGATCATAAACACATGCAGGGTACAACGAGGTGGGGACGGGTTGGACCATTCAACATAGCAAACAACTGCCCTTCATACAGGGAATCGGTCGGATTTTTGGAGATGCCGTGGCTTTTTTCCAAATCAGAACTTGTGAGTGGGTTTTTTCAGAATCTAGAGCATGCAAAACTTCGGATAGGCCCCCCTGATCTTGACTTGCTGGAACAGATTAGGTCCTCGTGGAGCTTGAGTGCATGACAGACTTGTCTTCCCGTGCAACAGGCACATCCTCACTGTCAAGTTAGGGGCGGGGACCCACAGACATTGTGTTTCTCCTGTTGTGTTTCCTTGGAAAACACTCCCAAAATGGATACCCTGAAAAGTGCTGATATCGAAGTGCTTCCAATATGCTGCCTGCCTGGTGGAATCTTGGAGCGGGAGCCGACACAGAATATACGATCAGCGTCCAACTCGGATTTTTGGACCAAGTGCCCCGGGAGCAACGCGATGCTTTGGGTAGGTGCATTTGAACCAAAATCAGGTTTGCAAGTGGAGCCGGCCGGCGGATTCAGGATGAGCAAGAGATTCATCGCGGGCCATCGAATTTGCGGACTACAGTCAGATCAGAGTAAGACCTACGGACCCACGGACGTGAGCCCTGAGCTGCATAGAGTTCTTTTTGATTTTGGACTCCACATAGAGAGTTTGGACCATGGCACAGAGTACGACCTATGAAGTTAGCTTTCCTTGCAACGACATAGTTTCAGCCGAACGAGATCAGACCCAGGGTTGCAGACGTGTATACGAAACGAGATGACGCAAAATGAAATAGCGCAACTTTGCTGGCTACATGCCAAAACGAGTCCACGAGTTCAAGACACGTCAAGTAGGGCAACTTGGCTTTGGTAGTATGCCAAGGACAAAAATCAAGCCTACTTTGCAATGGCATGCTGTTGTCTGCGTGTGGCTTTTCTGTTTTCACATCTAGAGATGATCCTCTTTGCGATACGAACCCACAACACAGATCAAACTAATGTTGACAAAACACATATGACAGTTAGTCATGCTACTCGCCAGAATTTGGGTAGACTCGTTACAGGTCTTTGGCATGTGCACCTTGGGACCAAATACGTCTGTGTGTCAGGCGGTTTTCTCCGGCTGCAGAGCGTTGACCACTTGCCGGGCCGCAGATCCTCCGATAGACTATCCGGACCTGGCGTGGCTTGGCATACCAATGGACCTCCGGATACACGCACCCCCACGTCCACACACAGAAGAAGGCATACGCACACAAAACGTAAATTGGAGCATCTATACAAATGCAAACACAAGCAAACGCAAACGCACATGTGCTGCAACCAAGAAGATCTGGCTTTCAGTTTTGAGCCGAAGCGACCGCACATGAGTTGGAGTCAGGGGTGTTGCTGAAGCAGCGCCGTTCAATGCCATTGGCCACGTGAGTTGTTGCTGCAAGAGAATGGGCAGGGCTTAAAGAGAACCGCAAGCATGTAGGGAGCCATGTGCGTTTGTGCACATCAAGTGGTTCCGTTTTCGGACATTGGGTCAACGACCCTTCTGAACGCGTTCCATTCATTTCCTTGGAGAACGTGCCTTGCTTCTGTGGCTGTGCTTTTGCATTGCCGTGTTTTCCTCGGACTGTGCCTCTAGTTTCCAGAGCTCTCGATGCAACCCACAGTTGGTGGTTTGGATTGGTGGTTTCGGGATTTCAACCGCTGCTTCTTGTGGAGGATAAATTGGAAGCCACCCCCGAAACACCTCCAAACCACCAATCCAAGCCGCCAACTCATGGTTACCTGTGCTCTTGTTTGTTGTAGCTTGTGCCTTCTTAGCTTCCCCGAAATCCACCCCAGAAAGGGTACCCACAAAAAGAGACACAGCCATTTGTCATCAAATAGCCAATCTACTGTTGGTTATAAGTTCAGTGTTCTTCAGGAAGCACTTTGTGAAGAAAGATGTCAAGTTTTGGGGCATGCCAAGCAACCGATTCATCAAGCAATAAATCTCTAGGTTTGGGTAGCTTTAAGAGACGCACTCATGCTTTTACCCGCTCTGGAAATCGGAAAGGGTCACTCTGGACAACACGGCCTAGACCTTCGTTGTTGGAGGGAGCTTAGAGGTCTGGGCGTTGGGGTTTCAGCGCCGGAGCGATCGGCTGGATTCGATCACTTCAGGGGAGGAGTGCCCTCCTGTGGGTATGACACCAGCCGCTGTCAGAATGTGCGCGCCTGAGCGGGGAGGGCATGGATCTAATGCAACTAGCCAAGAGTTACGGATGGGAAACGCCCCCTACTCAAAGTCACAAGGAGGTAGGTTGTTGTTGACACCTGGATCGTCTTGTTTCATTCTTTCCAAGCCTTCTGGTACAACAACAGAAAAGTGAGATCCTTGCTGGCAACGTAAACTCTTCAGCCACAACCTTGGGGCCCTCAGGCCAACGTTGGCCTGTTGAGATGCAACCTCCGACATCCAAGCCCTCACAGAACCAAGGCTCCATGGCAAAGGCCAGTTTTTCGTGAACGTGCCCAAACCAGGGGGAAGCACATTTCCTGTGCGATTCTTTGCGGTTCCCTGCCAAATGCAGTGTTTGGGGGTCAAAAGATGCCATTATTCTAACCTATCCTGGTGAGAACACCAACCTCATTTTATCCGTTCGGTCCATCGCCGCGGGCAGAAAAAAAAAAACATACTCCAGCGACGTATGTTGCGAACATGCGTTCTCGCCGCGTTGAATCGTAAGCCTCCAGACTTAGCGAGATAGATGTAACCAAACCCACCATGAATGCGTTGGCATGCGTAAACAACACACCGCAACAAGTAATGCATATACCAGTAAAATCAATTCAATATTAACATTACCTACCAAAGAAAGTGATTGATTGGACCTGTAATGCTGCGCTTCAGTGTAAACAACAACACATATACCACTTCCACAGTCTCCAGCCCTCCTCGGATTGTTAGGTCCACCATGTTCCGCCACTTTCATTCCTTGTTTGCGCAATTCCAGATAATGGTTCAAAAGGGGGCCCAAGTTTCAATCAAGTCCGCACTGCATCTTTCAAAGTCACCGAGGCTTCCACAGCCTCTGTGCGTTATATATTTGTTGTGGTGTTTTTTCTTCTGAGAGGAGCAACTGACAAGATGATTGGCAAACACGGCAGTGGATTGTTGAGGGAGGACAGCCGAAATTGCCCGAAAGCGAGGCCCGGCCTATTTTCTAATGGCCACCTTCTCTCTCTTGGCATATCGAACCGCTCAGGTGTTGAACGGGGAGTCCTGCCGCATCGGCTGCCGGGCGCCATTTAGTGGGCCCATGGTCACTGCCAGATGCCCTGCGACCAACACGGACTCCAACCAGAAGTTGACACTACGCCGCAGAAGAGCGAGTGCCTGTTCGTCTTCAGGCGGTCGGAGGTCGGATGTGGTGTTTGTCCTTTTCCGTCGAATGAACCGTGAGAAGGCTTCGCCTGTGATGCGTGTGGTTTTGATGGAGACTCATGGGACTCCGCCCCTGTTGGGGCCCCCCATCTGGACTGCTGTTGGTTGGATCTTTAGACTTTAACTTTTTTGGAAATCAAGGGGTTTTCCACTAAACCCACAAAAAGTTAAACTTTTTGCAGAGGGGTCAACAGCAACCAAGCTATTTTGACAGACAGAGCCTTTCGATGTCGGAAAACGAGCCGTGCCGAGGACTTATGAACCGCCGAAGTGCGAGAAGCTGTGTCCCAGCCCGTCCCTCGAGGAGGCGCGGCTGAAGGATCGCTGATGCATCGTCAAGTATGGAGTTTGGAGGTATGCAGGTCATGTCGCAACTACTCTTAAAGGGGCACATACCACGTTACATGCTTATATTGGTGGTAGACAGGCGTCCTGGACATACGTGGACATGCCTGGAGAGGAAGTTCCATGCTGCAATGTCTTTCAATTTCAGGGGTACGACAGTGAAGAGCCAAATGTCGGAGTCCACACGGTGGAGGTATCCCTTGCTTCAGACTTCAGGTTGCATTCCTGTCAGGTGGTCGCAATACGCAGAAATCCGGAAAACATGCCTTGTCACAGTCACAGGCTGGACTTTCTTCAGGCGACAAGAGTCTTCGAAAGGCCACTTCAAGATCCGAGCGAGCAACACCATGGGGTATTTCTTGGAAGCTGGTCCATCTCCGGTGCGTATGTCAAAAAGCATCGGTGATGTCCAACCACCGGGTGCCGACCCCACAGGGGGCTTGTTTGAAAGGCAAACCGAAGGGAAGCCATTCTGACCCGCAGCCTATACCGGTGCTGTGCCAACAACAAGAAAATCAGGAACCCCTCATTGTTCTGGTCTCTAAATCTCAGACCCCATGTGGGGTGTGTCTCAAACATCGGCAGGGATCTTCCAAACGTGTGGCCTCCAAGACATGGCACGGCACCGGCGACTTCAGGCGGGCCCAGGGTACCTCTACGATGTCTCCAACGACGCCTGGTCCTGCGCCCCCGCGTATGCGGGGGAAGCGGCCGGAGCCTGAGAGAGCTACGGGAAACTATCGATCATCTGTCCACTACTTCCATGGGTCGTGTTAAAGGAAAACCGAAAGGAACAGCAATTCGGGGGGGCCTAGAAAAATGAAGACACTTCCATGTGCTGAAGAATTTGGGGCTTAAGCAAATGGAGGATATCAGAACATAGCACCAACAATTCCCGTCATGTTGCTACATGGAGGTAGCAACAGAACCTTCCCGAAAGAACAGTCCCTCAACATGCACTAACATAGCTTGGTTGCAGGCTGGAGGTGCTGTGTTCCGTGAGAGTCATTCTACAAATTGCAAGACTCAAACCAGTGACAACATGCTCACTGCAAAATGAAGCGTGCATGTCAGACAGGTTCATTCAACAAATGAAGCGTGAGGACCGTTTGAACGGGGGTCAAGCACCCAAAATATGCAATTCTATGGTCCCAACTGTATCGGGAGCTGCTCTCGTGTTCCACCATATTTTGCGGGACCTTGCAATGGATTTCTGGGATACTCATGACATCCATCGTCCCCAAAGAGTCCAGGTATGGTAGGGTGTGAGATTCTAGTCGCTGCGCTTTCCAGCAAG